CAAGGCCCCAGCTGAACAGTCCGCATGGCGTACCCGCACCCGATTCGACACACCCTTCACACTCTTCGTGGCCCCAAAGGGAGCTCCACCGAAGGCCCCAGTGGCACAGTTCCCATGGCGTGCCCGTGCCCGATTCGGCACACCCTCACACGTTCCGAGGCCCCCTCCGGGGGCTCCACCCAAGGCCCCAGCGGCACAGTTCGCATGGCTTCCCCCCCTCACCCGATTCGGCACACCCCTCAGACGCTTCGTGGCCCCATAGCGAGCTCCAGCCAAAGCCCCAGCGGCACAGTCCGCATGGCGTATTGGCCCCCGCTTCGGCACACCCCTCACACGGTTCGTGGACACATTGCGAGCTCCACCCAAGGCCTCAGTTGCATAGTCCGCATGGCGCACGCGCACTCGATTCGACACACCGTTCACACGTTTCTTGGCCACATAGCGAGCTCCACCCAAGGCCCCAGCTTCATAGTCCGCATGGCGTACCGTTACCCGATTCGGCAGACCCCTCACACTGTTCGTGGCCCCACAGGGAGCTCTACTGACAGGCCCCGCGTCACAGTCCGCATGGCGTACACGCACCCGACTCGGCACACCTCTCACACGTTTCGTGGCCCCATAGATTTCGCCGAAGGCTCCATTGGCGCAGTCCGCATGGCGTACGCGGACCCGATCTGGCACCCCTAACACGTTTCGTGGCCCCAACGGAGGCCCCACGGAAGGCCCCAGTGGCACAGTCCGCACGGCGTACATTCGGACCGAGGTATAAAATCGAGGTCGGTTCAGGGAGAGTGCCCCAGTGTTCATCGTGCGTGTTGGATGTTCTTGTGCATTCTGGGGAGGGTGCCCTTGGATGTTCTGTTTGTTTTGGTCCACGGAGGGTCTCGTGTCCTTGAGGTAATTATGTTCTTCTGGCCTAGGTCCGACCGTACCCGCACCCGATTCGACACATCTCTCACACGTTTCGTGGCCGCATGACGAGCTCCACCCAAGGCACAAGCTGCACAGTCCGCATGGCGTACACGCACCCGATGTGGCATACCCCTCACACGCTTCGTGGCCCCATAGCAGCTCCGACGAGGGCCCTAGCTGCACAGCTCGCATGGCGTACCCGCACCCGATTCGGCTCACCCCTCACACACTTCGTGACTTCAAAGGAAGCTCCACCAACGGCCCCAACTGCACAGTCCGCATGGCGTACCCGCACCCGATTCGGAACACTCTTCACTCGCTTCGTGGCCTCATACGGGGATCCACCGAAGGCGATACCCACAACGACGGTACTCACAAGTGTATATGGTTGGGTCCTTCGCCAGGATGATTTTTGCAGGAGCGTCTGATTGGCATTCTGGCGAGGGTTGCTGTGTCGTCGCCGCTTATATGTTTGTCCTGGTCTGCAGTCGCTTCGGCAGCCTGTCCTGCAGCGGTCCACAGTAAACAAACATCTTTCCTCCTGCCTCCTCCTCCTGCCTCGAGCCAGGTGGCGGACAGCGTCAGCCAGCAGTTCTTGCACCTGATCGACGACTACGTCCAGCAGCTCCGCGGCCGCATGGAGAAGTGCGAGAAGGCCTCCGCCCCCTGGACCCGATTCATTTGCCTCCTGCCAAGGGCAATCGGGGAAGCGAGGGGAGAAGGCGGGGGATCAGGAATTGAAGGGATTTGGGATGCAATTCTTGCCAGGTTAGATTCAGCACTGGCGCTGGTATGTCCGCGGTCGAATACCAGCTTAGTCCAGCGCAGTCCCGCTCAATCCAGCTTAGTTCCTCTTAATCCCGCAAGCTCTAGACCCATATTGGGCTTAATCTGGTACGATCCGGTTTAGTATCCCCGTAATCGGGCTGAATAGCCTGTGATCTTTCTTACAAGAGGATGAGGCAGGAGGGGGATCATAAGACGAGTTGGAGTATGATCCGGAGAAACAGGTCAAGGTAGCCAGGTCGAACGAGTTAGCGGGTCTGGCCCATGCCCACCTTCGCTCCCATAACATGGGAGCCATCTGTTGCACAATTTGATATTCTGAGTGGGGCGCGCTCCCACCTAGCGAACAGCATGTGCTCGCGCGCGGACGCGTTTCCGACGGTCTGGCGAAGGGAACACGCGGGTCTCGCGCGGGCGGGAGTTGCATTCCAGGAGCTCCTTGCGCGGCGCTGCGGCGAGAGCACCATGCAGCCTTCTCCTGGCCTCCCGGGCGGCCAGTTTGCGAGTCCGTGCGACGACAGCGGATCACGCGCAGCCCCCAGAACAGTTCTGCCCTTCTCGCCGCACTCCCCGCAGCGGCCATCAGAGCTGGCGGTGCGTGAGGGCGAGGACGGCCTCTCGCCCGGCCTCGCGTGGCCCCGCTGCTGATGGGCCTGTTTTCCACCACCACCACCATGAGTTGGAGGGGGAGGGGGTCCTCCTCCTCCTCCTCCTCCTCTCCTCCTCCTCTTCCTCTCCTCCTCGTCCTCTCCCCTCGTCCTCGTCCTCCACCTCCTCCCCCCCTCCAACTTCTGGTGGTGGTAGTGGAAGACAGGTCCATCAACTGCCGCTGCTGCTGCCACGCGATGCGGCGAGCGGGGCACGCGCCGCGCCCACGCGGAGGCGCCCCTTCCGGGCGAAGTCTCCGAGGCGGGAATGTATACAGGGCCACCGCCTGGAGGGTCAGTTTTCGGAGCCTCGGCAGGCGGTGGATGTGGACACATTTGGCCCCGGGGGCCTAAATACATACATCTCCACCGCCCGCTGGGGCACCAGGACGACGGTTCCCAGGCGGTGGATATAGATAAATCCCCGCCTCGCAAACTCTAGTCTGAGCCTGGGCAGGGGAGACAGGGCGCCTCCGCCCGCGCGCGGCTCCGCCCCCAATGACCTTGGCGAGTGAAACATGTGCGTCGCGCCATGGGTCGGGTGTTGCTAGAAGTGCCCCTGGCCCAAGGTGCCCCCCAAAATTTCCAAGGAGGCCCCCACGGCCTCCAGAGCACCCCTCACGAGGCCCAGAGAGCCCCAGGGGCTCCAAAATTGAGCAAAAAGCTGGGGGCACCTTGGGCCAGGGGTACCTTTAGCAACCCCCGAAAGGGGTGAGTCCCACTTTCAATCGAAAGCGGCATGGTGCCGAGTCGAGAAGGACAGTTGCGCCCGCTAGCGCGCTGACGGTTTGGCGGGCACAAGAAATTTGCACGGCGCCCAAGCAGGGGTCCACTTGTTAGGAAAAGTGAGCCGCGAGGCCTGGGCGACATTGCGCACTTTCGCACGCGGTTTGCGTCCCGTCCCATTCTCGCCACACATTTTGTAACGTAGACGACACAGCGTCCAAGTTGGGGTACGTCACTTTTGTCTTGTTTCTTGATGGGTCGGATGGGTTGTCCTGGATGGGAGGATGAGAAGGACGATGGGGAGGGTGTTGAGCAGAAGGGTGGACTCGGAGGAAAAGGAGGAGGAGCAATAAGCGGGTGATTGAATTGAGGGAAGGAAGGAAAGAAGCCTGGAAGGAAGGACGGAAGGGGAGGGGAAGGAGGAAATCGCGGGGGTGAGGAGAGGGGTGAGAGTGGGACACGTCGGGAAGGGCGGGAAGGGAGACGGGGATTGTCAGGGAGGCACGGAGAGCGGATTGGAGGGCTGTGCGTTTTTGCAGGTCGGGTTGCCGAGGGGGGGCGAAGCCGGTGAGTTCTGATCAGCACTGCTTGTGCCAAGCAGTCGCGAGGATACGACGGGTTATCTTCGAAGAGCGATGCCTCCAAGAACGTGCCTTGTCCGAAGGCGGCTTCTGGTCCAGCATCGGTGCAACATGGGCCAGCATCTCTCGTGCAGTCGGAAGAGTGGAGCAATGGGGGCAGCACGGCGAGGAGGAGAACGTGGACGATGATGAGATTGATGGTGATGATGAGGCTGATGAGGCTGATAATGATGATGATGCTGATGCTGATGCTGATGACGATGATAATGACGATGATGATGGTGATGCTGATGGTCATGACGATGATGACGGTGCTGATGGTGATGGTGACGGTCATGGTTATGGTGATGGTGATGGTGATGATGACGGTGGTGATGACGATGATATTGATGTTGATGATGGGTGATGATGACGACGATGATGATGATGATTATGATGATGATGTTGATGATGATGATGTTGATGTTGTTGATGATGTTGATGATGATGATGATGTTGGTGCTGATGATGTTGATGCTGATGCTGGTGCTGATGCTGATGACGGTGATGATGATGATGCTGATGATGATGATGATGATGATGATGATGCTGAGGATGATGTCTGTGGTGGTGATGCAGATGGTGATGATGTTGTTGATGGTGATCATGATGATGATGATGATGATGATGATGATGATGATGATGATGATGATGATGATGATGATGTTGCTGATGCTGCTGTTGATGATGATGATGCTGATGATGATGATGATGATGATGATGATGCTGAGGATGTCGCTGATGATGATGGTGTTGGTGATGGTGATGATGATGAGTAGGGAATGGTTAACAGGACGATGAGGATGAACAGGGGAATGAGGGGGATGAGGAATGCGTCAAAGGAAAGAAGGTGAGGTGGAGGGAACGTGAAAGAAGGGACGGGAATACGGATGGAGAAAGAATTGGCGGGAAGAAGGATGCTGCGGGCGAGGAGGAGATGAGGGGTGCAACTAGGAAAAGGAACAGACTTCTTCAGCCAACAACTGGCCCTTGGGATCAATCGAAAGCGGTGCCGATGCCGTGCCGGCTCCACCGAGCCCTACCCCGAGAGAAACGAAAAGAGAGCGTTGCGACCACTGGAGGACGAAAAAAGGAAAGATGTGCCCTGACTTCAGGGGAAACCAATACCTTGCACCAAGGGGCTGTAGGCCACTCGAGAAATCTTGCCGAGCTGGGTACGGAGTCAATTGAGCTTCCAGGCTTGAGGAGGGCGTGCCACGCGAATGGCGGCGGCTTGCAGGATTGAGGAGGGCGAGGCGTGAGGAGGAGATGAGGATGAACGGTGGCGAGTTGAGGGTAGATGAGTGAGGGAGTGAGTGAGTGAGGGAGTGAGGGAGTGAGTTAGTGAGTGAGTGAGTGAGTTAGTGAGTGAGTGAGTGAGTGAGTGAGCATGAGGAGGGGAGAGTCGAGGGAAGAAGGCTGGGGCTTGGGGGGAGGAGGTGGGAGGGGGAAGAGGGGGTGGGACAAGCTAGGTGCGCTCGCGTCATATCTGACGTCCTAACCATGGCGTAGATGTCCATTATATGAGCATAGTCGGATGTCGTAGCAATGCATACAGTGGAGACGCGTGCCACGAAACACCCTGCTTGCCTCCAGGCTGCCCTGGGTTTCGTGTGTTTCGATGGTTTTCCCATGGGAAGCGTGACGTTTCCATACCAAAAACCAATGGACGTCCTGTGGTCTCAAGGTTGGATTTATCGTTGAAGGTTTCTTGTGAACGGGCCTCCACGGTAGCATTACATGGCACAGCATGGTGTTGAAGGTCAACGCGTATCTTGACATAGCATAGCGTGGCGACGCCCCAAAGTGGGGGGGTTCTGCGGTCAAAGCAAATCAACGAATCGACACCGAATGTAGAATCACTTCCGATGGTTGTTTCGGGGGGAGCACTGTCTAGATGTTGGGGCCTATTTGGAAGGACCGAAAACCATGCCATGGCATGGCGCCAGCGCTGCTGCGGGAGCACGACTCGGTACGCGCGGAAGCCCGGAAATGAGGCCACCGCTGCAGCGGGAGCGCGATTCGGAGGACGCGTAGCTTGACGTAGCATGGCGTGGCGACCCCCCAAAGTGGGGGGGGGGCTTCTGCGACCCAACAAATCAACGAATCGACGCCGAATATGTAATCACTTTCGATGGTTGTTTCGGGGGGGGCATTTTCTAGATGTTGGGGCCTGGAAATAGTGGCATGGCGCTGGAAATAGTGACGCCCGCGCTGCAGCGGGAACACGACTCGGTACGAGCGGAAGCGCGGAAATGAGGCCAGCGCTGCAGCAGGAGCACGAGTCGGAACGAGCGGTAGCCCGAAAATGAGGCTAGCGCTTCAGCGAGAGCAGCATTTTGAAAAAACAAGCGAAAACCCAACTCCGGGGAATCCTATGTGTAAGAAACCAGTACGCGGAGGGGGACCGAGTATTTCCCAGACGTCACCAGGGGAGAGAGGAGAGTAGTATTCACATTGCGCAAGTGTAGAGTGGATTAGAATAGAAGGGGCGAGGAGGACGACGCGGTGGAGGGACGCGGGAGGAGCCACGAGAGGCGGGGAGGGTGTCCGGGGCCCGACCCCCGCCCGACGGCCGCCCCTGCCCGAAGGCGCTGAAGGCAGCCGGGCAGGGCTGATCCGCGGCGGCGCGGCGCCTGCGCTGCCCCCTCATGCTCACCCCCACGATGGGCGGGGAATGTACGCGGCTCCCCCTTTTTTTCCGCGTGCGCATAGCACGACCGACTTGGCCCTTCGAACTTCAGGTGCGCCATGACACGCGCTGGCGGACGACGGAAGCATCAGCGCAATGGGAAGGGATGGGTGGGAGGGGTAGGATGTCAGATATGGCGCGATGGCACTTTTGTGAGGAACATCTTTGAGGCCTCGCGCTGCGCGCAATAGTTGTATTATCTAGTCCACACGCCCTATCCGTAAGACATGGGTCGACATTCGCGCGGCGATGCTCCTACGTAAGGCCGACGTAAATCCGACGTGCCCCCCCACGTGAGCCCGACGTGAATCTGACGTGCATCCGAGGCAATTTTGATCTCGAGTTGCCGCGCGAGGCCTCTTAGGACTTTCTTCATTACGCGAACGATAGCGTGCGACGTGGCGCCGCCGGCCCGCTTGTTGCACGTCATCCCATACCGTGGGGGCTGGCGTTCTTTCCGGAGATCGATGCTGCACGCCACTTTTTCAACGCCAAACGTATGCAGAACATCTGACAGTATCCTTACGCCTCCCTACTCTCTCTCTCTTTTTCCCCCACTCTTCCTCGTTTGGGGTCTGTTCTCCTGCGCCTCATCCCTCATCCCATTCCTATTCCTCTTGCGCTGCTGATAATCTTGCTCCACTCCTCTGTTTCGCCGTATTGCGTTATTATCCTCTTCCTGTTCTTCCTCCCGTCACCCTCTTCTCCCTCCTGGTCTTCCTTGCGGCTGCTTCTCTCTTTCCCCTTCCTTGTCCTCATAAGTTTGTTGGGCTCCTCGGAGCGCGCGGCACTTTTTTTCTGCGCTGGCTGCGCGCCCATATGTCTTCAGAGTGAACTGGAACTCTGGCCATCCCGCCTTGTCGTTGCTGTCTGGACTCGGCTTGCCAGGCACACGCGTGTCCGCGAACGCGGGTCGATACGCCACCGCCGTTGTTGTCATCCGACGTCAGGTCGCTAAGCCGCCTGTAGCACTTCGATGACTGACAGTTCGCTAGGGCTTGCGGTGCGACCAAGGACCAGGCCGCCAATCCACACTGCACCCGAGCCCCTGAGTGTGGTGTTCAATCTTGCAGTGCAATCCGACAGGCCTTCCCCCATTCCAGACCAGCCTTGTCGAAATCGGCGCCCGACGACGCCACCTTCTTTTTCTTTTTCCCCCCCTCCCTCCGCCCACGTTCTCATCGGTCCTTCCAGAGGTCCCCAGAGGTCTCCGCGGAGGCTTCTGGAGGCCCAAAGATCGGGTCGGACGAAAGGGGGGATAGTTCAAGGCGGGGAATACGGAATCTGCTGCATGCAGTTCGTTTCGGCCCCGCCTACAGGCGCTAGCTGGCGGATCCAGCGCCGGGAGCAACCGGGAAAATCAGTTACGCGAGCTCATTCGGTAACCCCCGTTTATAGCCTTCCCGCTCTCGGCCTACTCGGGTACAGGGCCAACAGCTGCCAACATATCCCTCTGGGTCATGTAGCGCCCGGGCCCAGGCCACGATCGCCACACACATACCAATCTCATCAGTGCCTCGCCGCCGCTGCCGGCCGTAGCTCGGAGGGGCGGCCGGCGACGCAGGTCACCCACAAGTCTCGGGCCGGACGAAGGGGGGGGGATTGGGAAAGGGGGGGTTACGAAATCTGCTGCATGCAGCTGGTTTCGGCCCCGCCGCCAGGCCCATTCCTCGATAGATGGGCGCCTCCAGCGCCGGGAGGCGCCGGGAAAATCAGCTAGTTACGTGAGCTGATTCTCCCCCGCCCCCTTTGCTATCCCCCCCTTTCGCCCGGCCTGAAAGTCAGGTTGCAATTCATGCGAGGTGGGCTCAGCATCGGCGCTGGTATGTGCGTGGTCGGAACACTGCCCAATCCGGCACAGTCTTGCTTGATTCCGTCTCGTATTTCTTACGCATTCCAGCTTGATTCTAGGGCTGATCAGTTCAAATCCGCCTCACTTGCCCCTGAATCGGGCTGAATAGCCCTTATAATCCGCTTCCACGAAGATCGGGCCAGACGAAAAGTGGGGGATGGGGAAGGAGGGAGGGATCACGACATCTGCTGCATGCCGCCGGCTTCGGCCCCGCCGCCGGCCCACTCCTCGATACCAAGGCGCCTCCTCCTGGCGCCAGGGAAGCCAGCTGCCTGAGCTGATTCCCTACCCTGGGAGCGAGCGAAGGACGTACACGTACATGAATCAACGTTGGTTTCGAGAGTCTGCATTGCGCGAATGTTCGTATCTCGCGGACGGTCTCGCAGATCGAGGGGCCGTGTTCGTACCTGGGCTGGACTTGAGCGCTGTTTTGCTGGACTTCGGCCGTGCTTTCCGTTTTTTCTCGTTTTGGCAGGGAGGTACAGGGAAAAATTGGTGGAGCAAGACGAAAAACAAGACGGAAACAACACGAGAAACAACGTTTAGGTTCAGCCCCAGCGCGGACCGTGCCCGCGCATCGCGCCACGCGGTCTGGGCCGCGAGGCCGTCTGCCCAGCGCGGAGGGCCATCGGCGCGCGCCGCACGCTTCGTGCGGCGCGGCGCGTGGAGGCGAGGCGGCCGTCATCGTCAGGAGGGGGGAGGAGGAGGTGGGAGGGCAGGGAGGAGACACAGGAGGAGGAGGAGGAGGAGGACGAGGACGAGGAGGAGGAGGAGGAGAGCTGGAGGAGGAGAGCTGGAGGAGGAGGAGGAGGAGGAGAGCAGGGAGGGTTCGGCCCCACCCGTAGCCTCAGAGGAGCAAGGCAGCCTGACGATCGTTTGTCGTCTCGCACTCCCCACCGAAAGCAAGCGATTGTGGAACTGGCAGCCTGCGGGGGCGGAGCGAGCCGGGTGTATGCTGAAACCTTGAAGAACCGTGCTGTTCTCATTGCCCTCCAGCGCGGCCTAATGCTTATCCATGTTCATGCCAACAGCAACGCGCGCGCTTCGGAACCCCCGCCACCCACAGTTTGCAAAAATTTGCGTGAACCCCTTTCACCTGGAAAACTGAAACAAGGAAATCCCCAATGCCCAAACTTGACTGAAATACGCCCTCCGTGCGGCGGAGGGAGAATACAGTCCAAACAGATTTGAAGGCACGACCCGAAGCCGAATTGCTTGATAGATAAGAAAGAGCGTGTTCTACAGCGGATGGCGGAAAACCGGGGGGGGGGGGTCACTGGGGGTTCCCAACCCGTCCCCCCCCCCTTCGAAAACCGGGAGGGCGTCACTGCCGGTTCGAACCCCCCCCCCGCCCAGTTCATCATGAGAAGAGAGGGGGGGTCATTACTGGTTCGGTTCCCCCCCCCAGAGAACCGGGGTGGGTCACTACCAGTTCGAACCCCTCCCACCCACCCCCCTTCGCCGCCGGCAAACGATTCCCGCTCCTCGGGACAGTTGGACAGTGGTGGGGATAATGGGATAGTGGTGGGGACGGTGGTGGTGGTGGTGGTGGGGACATTGGTGTGGGGACTGTGAGACAGTGGTGCGGACAGTGGTGGAGATGGTGGTGGTGGGGAGAGTGGTGAGGGGACAGCGGGACAGTGGTGGGGACAGTGAGACAGTGGTGGAGACGGTAGTGGTGGGGACAGTGGTGAAGGCGGTGGTGAGGACGGTGGTGGGACAGTAGTACACTGGGGAGAGTGGTGGGGACAGTGGGACCGTGGGACAGTGCTGGGAAAAGTTGGGACAGTGGGACAGCACAGTGGGACAGCGGCGGGGACAGCGGGGACAGTGGGACAGTGCTGGGAACAGTGGGGACAGTGGGACAGTGGTGGGGACCGTGGGGAAAGTGGGGAAAGTGGGACCGTCGTGGGACGATGGTGGGGAGAGTGGGGACAGTGAGTCACTGGTGGGGGCACTGGTGGGGACAGCGGGAACAGTAGTGGGAACAGTGGGGACAATGGGACAGTGGTGGGGACTGTGGGACAGTGGTGGGGACGGTGGTGGTGGGGACAATGGTGTGTGGACAGTGGGAATGTGGTGGGGACAGTTGGTAGGGACAGTGGGGGTGAGGACAGTGGTGAGGCCGGTGGCGAGGACGGTTTCGGGACAATGCGACAGATGTACAGTGGGGACTGTGTTGGGACAGTGGTGGGAACAGTGGGACAGCTCAGTGGGACAGCGGCGGGGACAGTGGGACAGTGGGGACAGTGGGACAGTGGTGGGGACCGTGGGGAAAGCGGGGGGAGTGGGACCGTGGTCGGAACAGTGGTGGGGACAGTGGGGACAGCGCGACAGTGGTGGGGGCACTGGTGGGAACAGTGGGGACGGTGGTGGGAACAGTGGGGACACTGGTGGTGGGGACAGTGGTGCTGGGGACAGCAGTGGGGGATTTGGTACGGACAGTGGTGGGGACCCGGTAGTCGTTTGCCGGCGGTGATTGGGGGGGGTTCGAACTAGTAGTGACCCCTCCCGGTTTGTTGGAGGGGGGTGGTTCGAACTGGTAGTGACCCCCGGTTTTTTGTAGAGGGTGGGGGGGTTCGAGCCGGTCGTGACCCCCTGCCGGTTTTCCGGAGGGGGGGGGAAGGGGTTGGGGAGGGAGGGGGGGTTTTGCCGGGGGGAAGGGGGAGTGGGGGGGTTGCAGCAGGGGGGGGGGATTTTCGAAGGGGGGGGAACCCTGGGTTCTGGAGGAAGAGGGGGGGGGAATTTCCCACAGTAAAGCGGCGGTGGATCACGCTCTCCCATCGACCCACCAGCAAGCACGGAATCCGAAGCCGTGATGGTCGCCACCAGCCAGATAAATTTGAGCTGAAATGCGCTCCCATGGCGGCTGTGGGAGAGTGCTGCACTGTAGTAGGCGGGATCACTGAGACCCAACCAGAACTGAAACTACACCCACGGCCGAATTGTTTGATTGATGAAGTGACCAACGAATGGCCGTGAAGGACGTCAGCAACAATAGAAGCATGGGTTAGAATACGCTGCCTTTGCGGCTGTGGGAGAACGAACAGTAGTTTAGAAGTCACTGAGGGCCAAACAGAACTGAAGTTGCACCCACGGCCCTGATCGTCCCGCAACCCACCTGCAACGACCAAAAGGTGGAAGAGACGTTGAACAGGCACCAACCATACCAAAGGGAGCGTTGCCCGCACTTTGTGATTGTCCTGCCGCGGTCCACGCGGCAGCCTTGCTCCCTCTCAAGTCGCGAGGCGATGTCAGGCCCGAGCCCTTGCTTGAACCACCCCCGCCGGGAGGAGGGAGGGGAAGAGGATAGCGAAGAGGAGGAGGTGGAGGAGAGGACGACGAAGCTGGCGACGGTGGCCGGCGTCCACACCAGGGCTGTGGCCGTGCCCTGCAGGGCCCCCAAGCGGGGTCTGAGTGGGCTGGGTCGGCGCATCCCCCCCAGTGGCGTCGGCCTGTTGCTGCCGCAGCCCGGTTCGGCTCCCTCGGGCTGTTTCGCCTTCGGCCCAGTTCGGTTTCGCATCTGGCCCGAGACAGACTGGGCCGAGCCGACACGCGCCGAGGCCGAAGCGCGTCGGGGCCGAAACGGGCCGAGGCCGAGACGGGCCGAGGTCGAAACGGGCCGAGGCCGAAACGGGCCAAGGCTGAATCCGGACTGAAACCGAAACCGGCCTGAAGCCGAATCGGGGCCGTGTCCCAGATCGCGCGGCGTTGCCCCCCCCCCCCACCGAGAAGGATAAGGACGAGGATGAGGACGAGGACGCGCAGAAGGAGGACATGGAGGAGGAGGAGGAGGAGGAGGAGGAGGAGGAGGAGGATCAGGAGGATCAGGAGGAGGAAGAGGAGAAGGTGGAAGAGGACGAGGGCGAGGACGAGGACGAGGATGAGGAGGATGACGAGGATGAGGACGAGGAGGAGGACCAGGACGCGGACGGGGATGGGGACGGGGACGAGGACGAGGGCGAGGAGGAGGAGCAGGACGAGGAGCAGGACGAGGAGGAGGACGAGGACGACGAGGACGACGAGGAGAGGAGGACGAGGACGAGGACGAGGAGAGGGGGACGACGGCGAGGAGGACGAGGACGAGGACGAAGACAATGAGGATGCTGCTGCTGCTGCTGCTGCTGCTGCTGCTGCTGCTGCTGCTGCTGCTGCTGCTGCCGCCCCCCCGCGCGCGCCGCGGCAGCAGGACCGCAGCCCCTGGCGGGAGGCCCTGGCCGCGGGCGCCTCGGAGGCCGAGGCCCTTGGGCTGGCTGCGGGCGCGG